ACAGAGACAGACGCAGGGTACATCTAGATTACATGCCTCTGCCAACTGAGGCATGTAAAAACAGACTATGCGACGTAGTCAATGAAGCGGGGATTTAAATATCCCCGGCTTCATTAAAATAAAAATGGCTGCTGCGCTGTGCCGGCTCAGCTGATCGTTGGCACAACGTGAGAGTCAAGACGCGGATCGGTCGTCAAGACGCAGATCGGTGGACAAGGGAAGCCTTTGTCGACCGCTCCTGTAAACCTCGTTGACCTCGGCAGAGGCATATAATCTAGATGTACCCACAGAGACAGAGTGTCTCTCAGAACACTATGCAAATTTGCTTGGCTCTGTCTCATACAACTACATGCATCTCTATATCCAGCCCAAACCCCTCCTCCTTACTACTCACTGGGTCTTGTCGGGTACATCTACACTGCATGGCTATTTCAAAATAAACTATTCTGAAATAGCGCATCTACATTGCAGGTAAGTCCCAAAATTAGTCCAAGGCAGGCTTCCCTGATGTAGACATGCTATCCTGATTTAGAGCCCCAGGAGGCACTGGGGAGGAATAACTTAGGCTATGTCTAGACTGCAGAGCTTTTCTGGGATACCTCTGGTATCACAGAAAACCTTTGCTATGTCCAAGGAATGCATCTACTTTTTCAGAACAATTTCTGAAAAAGTAGACATGTTTTTTGGCATCTCTGTATTCCTCTTGGTGAGAAGAATAAAGGGATGTTCCGAAAGACTTTTTTTCTGAAATTTGGCCCTGTGCAGACAGGCCAAATTTTGGAAGAGCCTCTTTCAGGGGAAAAAAGGGGAGGGGCAGAAAAAGATATGCAAATTGCGGTTCGACTTTTCTCTGCAGTGAGATTCAGAAATATTCGAAATAGCCAAAATGGAGCGTCTACAAATGCCTTATTTCAAAATAGCTATTTCAAAATAGGCATTATTCCTCGCAGAATGAGATTTACAGATTTCATAATAAGCCATCCGTTATTTTGAAATTTCAAAATAACGGAATGGCTGTGTAGACGGTCATATTAGCATTATTTTTGAAATAACACTAGTTATCTCGAAATACCAGTGCACTGTAGATGCACCCTTACTCCCACATCATCCACTCTCCATTCAGTCCCCTGAGCTTGAAACAACCTGCTACACAACCAAACATCCTCTTTTCCAAATCATCTGTTAAATCCCATTTGTACCATTGTTACAGGCATTGAAAATCTGAAGCTGATCCGATTTTGTGAGTCCCTGTTATGAAAAGGTGAGAAAACCTCAGCATGAGCATTTATTAGGAGTGTGAGAAAAAGCAGCTCCACTCTCAAACTTGGGACTCTCTCCTAATAGCTTAAAAACATCCATGAACGGAAGATGCCAACTGAGAGTTTCCAAACATACTTCACAAAGTGATCCAAAACAGGAAAATCTGACATTGCCTCTTTAGAAAATAGGACAAATCGATTGACTTTTTTCACTCTTACTCCCTATTTGTGAAACACAATGGTTAGCCTGCTCAGGCAGGTTTGTGCCAAACAGCAAAAGAATTAGACTGGCTGAGAAAAATTGCTGCTGAGCACAAACATAGTTAGGGAGGGTCAAGACCAACAACAGAGAGGAGCAGACTATCTGACAGCATATTAGAGGTCAGCCTCACAGCTTGCTGGATGTTCAGAATAGCCCTAAAGAAGGAGACAGTATTTGGTAGACCACTGGAAGACGGGTACATCTGAACACTCAAGCCTACCAGTTTTTCATGTGATTCCCAGATTGACACTAAGGAGACAGTATTTGGTAGACCACTGGGAGACGGGTACATCTGAACATTCAAGCCTACCAGTTTTTCATGCGATTCCCAGACTGACACCAACTTAAAAGAACATGGCAATAACACATTTCAGCTTTTAGAGTTATAAGTAATCAAGACACAAGCTGCTTTTATTAGGATGGCATGGGGCATCTGAGGGTTACATGACAAAAAACCCATAGGCAAATCTGAAGTGCAGATATTGGTGTGACTGCAAAAGAGGTGGCATAAATCCAAAACTCTGCTTCCATTTTGTAAGACAACAGTGTTGTCAAAGAACCAGTGATCACAAGGATCAATAGAGACCAGGCTAAAGTAAGGAAATGCTGAAGGCAAACCTTGAGCTACTGAGTGAAGAACAGTAAGTACTGCTAGCAGTAACCATCTCGGATTTTTTAATCACACTAAGATCAAAGTGATTTTAACCACCCTCTCAGGATTCATTGCCCAACTAATGTGTGACAATACAACTTGCACTGTCTACATTAGCGTTTTAAAACATGCTACGTAAAATGTGTTAGTGAATATAGTTTTAAAAACTTTTATCCTCCTGTGGACAGACCCTTGGAGACAGACAGTTTGGATTCAGAAGCAAGAGAAATCAATGGAAGCAATATTCATTCTGATTCAGAAGCAAGAGAAATCAATGGAAGCTATATTCATTCTGATAGGTTTGTGAGTTGCACAAAATAAAGTATTTGCCAGCTGACCCTTCATTTTTGAATTTGTTCAGAGGCAGAAGACTTCACAAGCAAAATAACTGTTTGACTTGTAAATCACTCAGATTGCAGCCAAGGAAAGTGAAAAACTGGAAGCCTTTATTGTTGAAACCTGAGCTGTGACTTTCTTAGCGCCAACTGTACTGGCAGTTCAGGTTTCAGCCTCAGTTTTCCAACAAAAAGAGGAAAGTCAGGATCTGACATTTCTAACATTCAGAAAAGGGCAGAAAATTTATAGATTCTTTAAGTTTCATAAAGCAGAAGTAAAGGGCACAAACATTTTAAACTTCACAGTTAACCTTTGATAAAAGCAATATTTGCTTTGGGCCAAATCCTGCCACCCTAGCTGCAGCCAAGGAAGTCCCGAATTGTAGATGAGCTGGCATGGATCAACACAAACAAATTCAACCCACACTCACAGCCCAGCTCTGCTTAGCGCCAACTAACTCTGCAAACTCCTTGAGCTATTTTTACTGGGGCATTATTCAAAAGCCTTGATTGGGAGTGGACTCTATTGCATCTAAGTACACTACTGTGAATACACTCTTGAACACATATCCTGCCCCAAAGAATTTATAGTCCAGTGGGTCCAGGTTCTCAGGACAAATCAGAAGAGGTGCAATGGATCTACTGCTGGTTCCCGCTCCTCCCCAATCTAACCAACTGAGGCTATCAAAGCAGTTCCCCCATAGGTACACAGCAATGAACATTTCACACCTTAGAGGAAGAGGCAGGAATTGCTTGAAAGGCACAGAGAACACCTGGCAGAGGCAAACTGAGTAGGAGGAGGGGAGGATTTGGAGTACTGTACCACTGAAACACATTCCATGGGCCCAGAGGATTCACTACAGCCTGATCCTGAGGTGCTCTTATGTGATCGTGGGGTACTTTGCTCTGCAAGGCACTTCTTCAGTGGCCTACTGTAGCTCTACAGCAGTGGTCTCCAACCTTTTTACACCAGCAGGAGGAGACCTCCCCCCCCGCCCTTTCCTTGAAGCCCCACCATCTCTATTCTCCTCCTGCCCATCACTTGCTATCCTCAGCCCTTACTTACACACTCGGATAAACAGTTTATTTTTAAATTATGCGATATATAAAATTAAAATCACGTGTTTATAGTTATGAAATAAATGGTCGGTTTTTTATTCATATATTTAAACTCTAAAATGAAGCATTTATAACTATACATTTTGTGGGGACAGAGTTCTGTGGCTGGGGGCAGGGGAGAGGGGGCAGGGTGCTGGGAGGGCAGAGGACAGGGTTCTGCAGCTGGTGACAGGGTGCCAGTGGGGACAGAGTTCAGGGAGTGGGGACGGGGCTGGGAGTGGCAGTGTGTCAGTGGGGACAGAGTTCGGGGAGTGGTGACGGGAATAGGGACAGAGTTCTGTAGCTGGGAACAGGGGAGTGGGGCAGAATTCTGTGGCTGGGGGCAGGGGAGTGACAAGGGAGTGGGGACTGCGTTTGGGGAGTGGGGACACGAGAGTGGGGACAGATGGGGACAGGAATGGGGACAGAGTTTTGTGGCTGGGGACAGGGGAGTGGGGACAGCATTTGAGGAGTGGGGACAGCATTCTGTAGATGGGGACAGCGTTCTGTAGATGGGAAGTGGGGGCTGGGGAGCACGGAGTGGGGTGCCAGTGGAGGCAGAGAGTCCCCTGCATCTGCCTCCACCCAGGATTCCCTCCAACCCCCCACGTGCGCCTCCCCCGGGGCTGACTCACGCCTCCTGTGCAGTGCAGGGAGCATCTGCTCCCTCCAGCAGTTCACCCGGTAGAGCAGCTAGCGCCCTTCCGGAATCGCTGGAAGTGGCGCTAAGCTGCGGGACCTCTGTCCATCCCCGGGAAGCTGACACTATCTCCATTTTCACTTGAGATAGGTAGTGGGGCTTCTCGGGGGTGGGAGGAAAATGGAGGCGGGGCGGACAGGATGCCTCACGATCAACTGGTCGAGGCCTCGCAATTGACCAGTTGATCGCAATCGACCTGTTGGTGACCACGGCTCTACAGAGTGGCTAAAAGGGACACAGTTTCCTACTTATCTGCCAAGCACAGGCTACTTAGGAGCTAGGAAGAGGATCTGGCCTTTGTAAGCCCTCAAAATGCCATTCTGGTATTCCCATTTTTTGAACCACAGGCTTGGCTGCATTATAATTATTATTATTACACAGAATGGGTGATAATCCCTGGTACATTCTTGAGAGAAAAATTATTCAGCCCATTCAGCTTTTTTTTTTTTTTGGCTTTGGGCATATTTCCGACTGGAGTGGAATACTGACATACAGCCTGCAGGTAAAACTACTCTAAGAAAACATGTTTCATTGTTTTTTAAAACCAGTAATCAGGAAACAAGCTAAAAATCAAGATTTTATCTCTACAGTTTAGCATAAAAGACCTTACTCCAATTCCATATAAATGTACATATTTGATTTTACATTATGTTGTTTCAGTTTAAGGTACTTAATCCTCAAAATAATTACTTACCAGTCTCTTTTGCTGGAGCTGTTCTCTTAGTAATCTGTCTTCTGGTAAAACATCACATAAAAGAAAATAATTGTCCTGTTCCTCTGTTGAGGGATTAGAAAATAAGTGTAAAGGAGTCATTTGCAGCTGTTTTGCATATATTCTGCCCTGTAACATTTTCAACCCAGCTTCAGATATAATTAGAATATGTCTATAATTAGATTATAACTAGGTAAATATAACTTAGATAGGGCCACGATAAGGTGGGTGCATAACTGGCTGGATAACCGTAGTCAGAGAGTTGTTGTTAACGGTGCTAAATCCTGCTGGAAAGGGATAACAAGTGGAGTTCCGCAAGGGTCTGTTTTGGGACCCGTACTGTTCAATATCTTCATCAATGATGTAGATATTGGGATAGAGAGTACGCTTATTAAGTTTGCAGATGACACCAAACTGGGTGGGGTTGCAACTTCTTTGGAGGATAGGGACATAATTCAAAATGACCTTAGCAAGTTAGAGAAATGGTCAGAGGTAAACAGGATGAGGTTTAATAAAGAGAAATGCAAAGTGCTCCACTTAGGAAGGAACAATCAGTTCCATACATACAAGATGGGAAGCGACTGTCTAGGAAGGAGCATGGCGGAAAGGGATCTAGGGGTCATAGTGGACCACAAGTTGAATATGAGTCAACAGTGTGATGCTGTTGCAAAAAAAGCAAATATGATTCTAGGTTGTATCAACAGGTGTGTTGTAAGCAAAACTCATGAAGTCATTCTGCCACTCTACTCTGCACTAGTTAGGCCTCAGCTGGAGTACTGTGTCCAGTTCTGGGCGCCACATTTCAAGAAAGATGTGGAGAAATTGGAAAGGGTACAGAGAAGAGCAACAAGAATGATTAAAGGTTTAGAGAACATGACCTACGAAGCCAGGCTTCATGAACTGGGCTTGTTTAGTTTGGAAAAAAGAAGATTAAGGGGGGACATGATAGCGGTTTTCAAATATCTAAAAGGGTGTCACAAGGAGGAAGGAGAAAATTTGTTCCTCTTGGTTTCTGAGGACAGGACAAGGAGTAATGGGCTTAAAGTGCAGCAGGGGAGGTTTAGCTTGGACATTAGGAAAAAATTCCTAACTGTCAGGGTGGTCAAATATTGGAATAAATTGCCAAGGGAGGTGGTGGAATCTCCCTCTCTGGAGATATTTAAGAACAGGTTAGATAGACATCTGTCAGGGATGGTGTAGACGGAGCTTGGTCCTGCCTTGAGGGTGGGGGGCTGGACTCGATGACCTCTTGAGGTCGCTTCCAGTCCTATGATTCTATGATTCTAGACTGTTTTAGTTAAATATTTAAAAAATGAATGTGATTTTCATTAAGAACTAGAGTTTTATTTTACACTGCTGATGTTACTTGTGGGTCAAAGGCAGCATTGGTATAGCTAGGTAAAATTCCATCAACACAAGTGGACTTTCAACTATTTTACACCACCATTCAATTTATATAAGGCCAGATTCTGCATAGCCTTAGATAGCTTCTCCACTTCCTTATGTCACCCCTATTGTATTCTGCCTTTGTCACTATCATAGCGGAACATATTCCAATTGTGTATTTAAATGAGGCAACTAACATTGGCAATGCATGGTTTGCAATTTCTCTCCTATTCTCTCAGCAGGAGAACTGACTGTGTGGGATAGTGTTTTATTTTGATATACATACTGCTATGAGTTTGTATTGGAGAAAACAAGACTGAAGAAGTTCAACCTGAACTGGGACTAAGGTGGCAAGGTTTATGATGGTTCTTAGTTTCTGGGGGGTTCTCATTCCAAAGCCTCCGACTGGCCCCTGAGAAAGATCTGTCTCTTGTCTAGACAAGCTTGACCCTTAATACAGAATGTTCTACAGTGCCAGAGAAGCAGAGGTATCAACTCCTGTGCTCGTCCCAGTGCTTTAGATCAGTGTTTTCTCAACCTTTTTTTATACAGTATCCCTTTAAAAAAATTGTAAGTACCCCCAGTATCTACAGTTGTCAGACAATTTTTTTCTATCATTAAATATATATATATATATATATATATATATATAAAAAATGGAGATTGCCCCTCTCCTAGAGC